TAAATACATAAAAAACATTCAATAAAAGACAATACAAAAAGGATCAATCTCTTTAATAGACTGATAGCAAAATACAAACTTACCAATTGCCAGACCGGCATATATAAAAATAATAGATACATAAATATAGATAAATCTTTAGTTGGGGCAGAGATACATACAACATATCTGTTTAACTTAGTGCTACACTGGGCAAGACAAGCACATTTGTGGCTGTATGCATTACACAACGGGAGAATGGAAGTAGCACAATGCTGTAATACTCTGAAGGCCACTATAGGTAAACCTTTGTATCTCAGACACCAGTATATGTTTTTTTTTATTTCTCATCAGAGCAAAATTAAATACAATGTAGTGTCATTTGGCTCTCTTCTTTACTTAGTTTACATGGTAATGTATACTTGTTCTGTAAAAGGAAGATGCATCAATTTAATCATAAAAGAACTCTTTGTCAATCCAGTAATAGCACTTCCCAGACTTCACCCAAGGTGAACTGAGTCCACACCTCCCTAATTATTCAATTAGAAAACCGTTTACAATAAAAATATTGTGATGGAGTGTGTTTAGAAAGGACTCAGATATATATGATTAATAAATATTTATTTAGATTCTTGTTTTTCTAAAAATCATGCAGTTCGATAGAAAAAAAATCAATAAACTTGAAGTAGTGCTTATGTGTGTCTCAAACTATCATTTCTCTATCCCTAAGACTATTGCTGATACGTATATTTGCAAACCATATTACATTGATAATTTGTTCATTCATGGTCATATTTATATTTCATATAATTCTTTACAAGTATATCACTATTAGATGAATCCCCTACGTGTTACGCTCCCAAAGGCTTCTTCAGGGGGATGTTTATTTTGTTTGTTTGTATATATCGATTTTCAGCAATAATCTGTTTTTTAAACATATACAATATAAATTAATATTAATCCATAAGATAGAATCAACACAAAATATACTATATATCCATAAAATTCATTTCTATTGCATAATTATATTCAAAATTCCTCATTTTTCATTTGTCAATACAATATATTCATTTTCTTAATTTGTCATTAATAGCTTTACATTAATATTAATGCATGGGATATAATATTCACATTCACATTGATTATTTATGCACCACAATTTTTTGTTCATCTCTAATACATATATTTGATCATTTTCATTTATCATTAAATTATCCTTTTATCAATTTCATTTGATGTTGGTTCATGTTATTTATAGGGTATGTTGTTCCTTAATTAAAATCATCCAGTATATAAACAGACATAATTCATAATTATTCATCTTTCCGTAATGTTATTTTAAAAAACATATATTACTTGATCTAGATATGTCGGAGGGTATTTTTTCACCATAAATGTATGTAATTCTTCTGTTCGTATGTTAGTGGGATAGAAAGTTAAAGATTAATGTAATAAAAACACATTTGTAGAGCCAATGAATTTGGAGGATATACACGAGAAGAATAAAATCCTGAAGGCTCAAGGGCTGGGATGTATTGTTTTTAAGATAATTTAAACACGGGTAAATATCGGAAATATACACTGATGAATGGGATAAAGGGGGTGAATTAATGCCATGAGTCACAGATGGTGAACTAATTAATGCAATTAAGATATATATACACACATGGGATATGAGATTGTCCGGGTGTACTAGGGACTACACAATGCATGAGTTAACAAATGAGAAGAGGAGGAATAGAGGAAAGGCACTTTATACACAGAAAATGAATTAATTATATATAAGAGGGAATGAAATACTTGATATAAACTAAGCACCATGATCACTTTCTAGCACTGTGAAGTTGTACTGGACTCCATGGGGTTGATTTACTAACCTTATAAACACACTACGCACATGTATACACCTCTGTAGTGTGTTCGCTCCCAGCATGATCTATGGGTGGAATCTAAACACCTTTGTAGTGTGTACACACCCAGCAGGTGTGTTGTGCAAAGCCAAGCATGAATTTCAAGGTGATGTTGTGTAAATTAGCTCTATGTTGTGTTGCTTGCGTTGATGAATGCAAGGAATGTAAATGCATGAGCTAACCATTTTTGTCTAAACTGTGAAGCAGCATTATATATGCATCATGTGCATGATTTTTCCATATATGGCATTAGTGGAAATATGCTTTTAGAGACTTTTTGGTTGATAAATACGTTTTGCTGTGTGAAAATCACACGCACCTGGTGCGTGCGTGTGTTTAGGTTAGTAAATCACCCCCCATATGCGTCTCTGATTCCGCCGTGTGATACTCTCTAGGGTTGATGAGGGAAACCCCATCACTCGGGGAAAAAAGACCTTTTCAGTATCATGCAATCACAGGATTAATAGTTGAATATAAAGAAAGGTAAGAAGAATTACATACATTTATGGTGAAAAAAATACCCTCCGACATATCTAGATCAAGTAATATATGTTTTTAAAAATAACATTACGGAAAGATGAATAATGATGAATTATGTCTGTTTATAAATAATCAATGTGAATGTGAATATTATATCCCATGCATTAATATTAATGTAAAGCTATTAATGACAAATGAAGAAAATGAATATATTGTATTGACAAATGAAAAATGAGGAATTGTGAATATAATTATGCAATAGAAATGAATTGAATTTTATGGATATATAGTATATTTTGTGTTGATTCTATCTTATGGATTAATATTAATTTATATTGTATTACCGGTATATGTTTAAAAAACAGATTATTGCTGAAAATCGATATATACAAACAAACAAAATAAACATCCCCCTGAAGAAGCCTTTGGGAGCGTAACACGTAGGGGATTCATCTAATAGTGATATACTTGTAAAGAATTATATGAAATATAAATATGACCATGAATGAACAAATTATCAATGTAATATGGTTTGCAAATATACGTATCAGCAATAGTCTTAGGGATAGAGAAATGATAGTTTGAGACACACATAAGCACTACTTCAAGTTTATTGATTTTTTTTTCTATCGAACTGCATGATTTTTAGAAAAACAAGAATCTAAATAAATATTTATTAATCATATATATCTGAGTCCTTTCTAAACACACTCCATCACAATATTCTTATTATAAACGGTTTTCTAATATCATAAAAGAACTCTACACACAACATAGACCTGCTGCTGCAATTTTAGGAAATCTTGAACTAATTCAGTAAAAAGGAACTTGAGTTTATGCCATGAATACGTGCATAGATGTTGTGTTCTAGTGCGACTTCTAGTGCGACTCACTTTGAATATCCAGTCATGGGCAGATAAAATAAGCAAATATGAGTTTGCTTTTCAAATGATTAGATAATTGAAATTAATATTCACACACTTTGTTGAGTGAAGATTCTTAACTCCCTTAGCAAATCAGTTTTATTATGTGCTAGGATCTACATTTTAATCAATTTCCTGTATTCATTAGAATGGTAATATGTTTCCCCCATGTTTGTGTGTTTTCTCTGGATGCTCCAGTTTTCTCCCAAAGCATTCTGATATGTTCACTGGTATCTGACTAGACAAGCCCAGTCTATATTTTCCACTCCACCATGGCGGTTTCCAATATACAACTCAGAAAGAATAAAGGATAGGCACTGAGCTACCTAACCAATCCTTGAAAGCACTGATAGCTGCTACAGAAACAGTAAAATGGCTTCCTAATATACTTCAGTAGCACAGGAACGACATAAGTCCTATATAAGTGGATTTAGGTTTGGTGGAGCTTAAATATGTAGTCTAAGTACAATTCATCTACTAATGTGGGTATTACAAAAACAAAGCAAGATTTCCCAAGGGTTTCAAACAAGGTGAGACTGCACTGTATATTTCAGTCTCCTGTGTTATTAATCACAAATCTAATCTAAGAATGAGCCACTTAAAACAGTAAAATGCGATCTAATGAAATTAGTATTTCACTGGCCCTTTGCAACTGTTACCTGAGAAACAAAAATCTGACATCCAACACTGAGGGTGCACATCGAGAAGGCAGAGAACAACAGGCCTTTTCATATCATCTTATAGGGCCAGCCACTGGCCTGTTCCTTGTTTTCCCTGCTGAAGGAGCACTGGTCTTTCATGAGGACAGGAGTAGCATGAATTTATGTACAATTTCTAGTGGTTATTAACAAGGAAATCATTGTGATTTGGCTGTAATTCTTCTCTATCCAACTGCTGACGAATTTCCATCTGATTAACAGAGAAATACAGCAAGCCATTGATCAAAAAATATTTATGCATACAAAGACATGTTGGCCAGCATGATAATGTGTATGACTTCAATTCAAAGAGAGCCGCACTCAACGGATTTTCCACACTAATCCAAACTTTATTTTAATACATAAAACGGTATACACCAGATAGGGCCCCCCGTAGCAAGATAAACTCTTTCACGCGTTTCACCCACAGGGCTTAACCTCTTAAGAAAAAATGGACGGACGGCTGACTCCTATCTGCGGGTTGCCGTCGCCAGACGGCATTTTTTTCCAAGCGATATCTCTGTGATTAAGCCCAGTGGGTGAAACTAATGAGTTTCTCTTGCTATGGGGAGCGCTATCCGGTGTATACCATTGTATGGTTAAAAATAAAGTTTGGATTCGTGTGGAAGATCTTCGAGTCGGCAACATTATTTTGCCAAAACCTGGAAGATTTTCACTACAGGAATCCGACTGCAGAATTGGAGCAATCATTGTTGTGGATTAATGTGTATGACTTGTTGAATGATCATGTATTAGAATAACTAGGACTTGCTAAAAAACTGTTGGTTAGTGTTCCATATTAACACATGTATGGAAGCTTGTGTTGCCAGTGTGTAATAGAAAAATAACAGGAAGAATGTGCTGCTTTACACAAATAGAACAGTCCTTCCTGCATGCATCTACATGAATAAGGCCACTACATGTTATATCTAGATCAGATATTCTTATTTTTTCATATGATATGGGGTTGGAGGTTTTCATGTCTCTGATCTTATGATGATTGGGAGGGAGAATCAGATCTTAAAACATCTGTCAGATGCTCTAAAATCTGTTATTACTGCCATTTATAGTTGGCAAATTTGATGTCATAAATAAAAATTGGAAAGTAAATTCAGAGCCATATTTAAAACAGTTTGAAAGGATTGGAAAGTGGAGGTTCATTGCAGGTACCCTCATTATATACAAAAGACTGTTTGACAGTCACATCATACCAAATACATGAACAAATATAATCCTTTATGCTACAGAAGAGCTGAAAATGTAAAAGATTAAAAAAAGAAAACAAGACCGAAAATGTAACATGTCCTGCTGGTAGGCATCTACGATCAGTAGCTTGTTTATACTTCTGAAAAATGTAGATGTTCTGCTGCTCCACAATTATCCAAAGCTTGCTCTGGATGCATTTGCTGCTGAAATGTGTCTTTTTTTTCTGGGATGGTTAGAGACGGCTGTTATTTTTGATTAGATGCCATGTTTTAATTCTGACGCGGCTCTGGAAAACGATGTAGGTCTTGACCTATGAATTCACTTACTGCAGTGGAAAGAAAGAAACAAAGTAAGTTGCAGCAAGTAAGTAATTTCCTGTGGCACAGACAGGACTAGACGTACTGGGGTAGCTGGTATCAAGGACAGATATATAAAACACTCTATACAGATATACAAGCCTAAAAATCTGCATTTGATAATATGTGATGAACAATGTTCTGGCAAAAACAATTTCATACTGGCATGGCAAATGCAAATTTTTTAAAATGTATATGTTAAATGAACTGAAAAATGAAGAAGACATTTCTTGTATCTAGTAGAATATAAACGGAATCCATACTATAATATGGTCATAATCCATACAGATTATTTGTGTGGAAATATTAAACATTCACGTATGTCTAAAAAAAGGTCAGCCAAAAGCCACCCATGTTTAATTACACAATTCTGTGAAAATAAAGCTGTACCCGCTGACCTGGGCAGTGACATTGGATAATGGCACACTACCTTAAAGCGGACCAGAAGTCAAAAGTGAAGATGTGCTATCTTACAGCGAACACCTAGAAATGGTAATTGTGCCTAAGCTGTACATTTTACCCTTTGCCTAAAATGTTTCCTGAAAAATAACAGTGCACTTCCTGACGTGACTTTGCTTAGACAATCCTCTTCTGTAGCCTTATAAATTTATATCTGTAGTTGGAGATCATCTATGGCACTGTGCCCCTGAGTCACTAGATATCACTAGATTTGCCATGAGATTTGGTGATGTCACTACTGTTAAACTTGCTGCTTCTTTATTTGACCCCATCAGTCATCAGATCATCGGGGGGCAGTTGTGAGGGAGCAAAGCCCTGCCTTTACCATAATGGCCACCTCCACACAGTGACACATTACAGAACAAGGCATGGTAAGTCAGTAAAGGGGAGACAATACCAAAATGCCCTTTTAGGTTGGACTAAAGTGGACCTTTAATACTGACTTTCTTTAACTATTGCAACACAAGCCAAGCAATGAATATCGGAAACCATTAGTTGTAGCAATACTAGACAATTGTTGTTGGTTTTCAGTAATGCAGCTTATGCAACTAAACACTGATAAAATTTAGATTGTAATCAGAAACACACAGTTCAGTGCTTTAACACAACTTAAAAAATGTCCGAGTTTATTGGCTGTCTATTGCTTAGATATGTGGCTTTTATATTTAAGTTTAACCTCTGGGTTCTTCATAGGATCACCAGATAGCAAGCTGCAGTGTAGCAAAAGGTTTCTGCTGAAATCCCATCATTATCTAAAATATCTCTTATTTGTTTAGATACTTGAAGCCTATTAAACCTATTTGTAAACATTTTCAAATGCTAGATTATATAAACCAATGCATATTTTAGGTTTATCGTACCTTCTTCCAGTGTGATCCCCTGGATTGGAATAGGGTGGAAAGGGCTTTCAAACCCTTGACTTTCCTTTCCCAAATCTCTTCCCTCATTGCTGGAAGATTTAGCATATTCTTCAGAATGGTTCTGGTAACAGGTATCTTTCTCAGTCTGATTTGATGACATGCCCAATGAAACATCTGATGATGCCTTTTGACTAGGAATTGTAGCGCTAGGAATGAGTGGGGAAGAAGGTGAAGATAAGGGAACAGGATGTGCAGAAGGGCAAAGGTTCGTGAGTTGGCTGGTGCAGTTGGTCAAGCTTTGGTAAGAGGCAGAATATGCTTGTGGCGCATTATTGTCCTTGGGGACACCCAAACTGGAAACTTGCATAGAAAATTCAGAATGACTAACAGAGCCATCTTCTGTTTTTGAGTTTAATGTTTGTGTTGGATTACCAGGATGACTGGAGATTGAGCTTCCAGTAAAATGTTGATTGGTAGCACATGGCTCTCTTCTGTCCACTTCTGGAGATGTGGTAGAAAGTTTAACCTGCATTGTCTCTAGGGACCTACTTTCACCTAATGTTGTGTATGTGGGAGGAGCACAGTCTGGATATGGCTGATAATCACGGACAAAATTATGTGCATTTGTTTCAAAATCTAGACTTGCTAAAATAGGGGAAGAGGAATAATTCTGATGTGGACCTGCACTTCTCTCCTCCATTTTATTGGGTGAATTTAAATGGGAAAGCAAAGATCCACTAAATGTAGTTGAACATGAGGATTGGGAAGAGCAGGGCTGAGGGGACCAGGGAACTGGACTTGGAGGAAGAGGAGAGCTAGTGTTTGATTGAAATGGCAAAGTTAGTGAAACATCACTATTGCTCTCATGGTATGGGATGGGGCATTTAAACTCAGGAGCTACTGGGGGATTAAAGTAGCACCCCAAAAAGGAACTACTTCCTACACCGCAATCTGAAGTACCTGGGAACATTTTTTCCTGGTGTGGAGAGGTATAATAGGGAGATACATCCATGGGAGTTTCAGGCAAGTTTGGTGGTAGAGCAGGGACAAAGTTTGCAGACAAGTCCATCTGTGTTGGATCTAAAGATATGTGACAAGGAGGAGGAAGAGGGGCAGAGGGAAACCTATGTAAAGCTATCTCAGGAAGAGGCTCCTCTTTAAAAATGACTGCAAAGACGAAGCATTAAGAGAATGAAAAGTAGACAGAAAAAAAGAAAGGAGAATAAGAGAAAAAAATGATAATCATATACTAAAAAAGCAGTCTGAAAAATGTATGTACAAAAAATTAGGTTTTATAAATCTTAAATAGCAAGAATCTAATATGCACATCTGTCCTTCGGTCACAATGTTCCTATACTGTCTCCTTTTATTTATTACATATGCTGAAGTGTACAGCTACTACATGCATAACAATCTCAAGTTCTCTGTCCACAAAATTGCGCCCGCTGATATGCATTTACATACAGAAAATGAGAGATCTGAGAGTTACCGTGACATAATGCTGTCTTTTCTTTGACTTTACTGGCCACTGACCTGGAAAATATTCAAGCCAGTGTGTCTGCAGCTACTTTCAGAGGCACTGTCATTTTTTTCCATTTAGGACCTGTGCACTGTCAATGGAGAAGATTCCCTGCTCCCCATACTGAAAGCAGCGGGTTTCTAAACGGCAGCAGTGGAGGCAGAAACGGTGCTCGATTCATGGTAATGTATATCTTGAGCAGGGGGCACGTTAAGAGACATGCTGGCACTTTGCCCTGCATGTTTTCTGCATTTCAGAAGCAGGACAAAAGTGGCAACCCTTATTTATCCCACAACAGATTTATTTTATATGGAGTCTTTTACATGTTCTTCCTTACACCTTTTAAAATCCTTACATTGCTAAAAGAGACTGCATTCTGCCTGTGATCACCTGCACTGAAAGATGCGACTTGATAAGTAGAGCACCATAAAAGAAAATGAGTATTTGTATTGTATAACATTTGTTATCAACCTCAATATGGCTAAGTACACACGTTGTAAAGAGTATACAAGTGTATAGTGTTTTGTTTATACTTCCTATTCAGGGTAAAACAAATGCCTTTTTATAGTGATTTTGTGCTTCTTTTTTAATGGGTAATATATAGAATATTGTGCAGGCCATATTTACCATTTGTAGGTGGTGTGCTATGCTCCTAAAGGCTAAATTTACTTTTCCGACCATATTCTGGGTGTAACATGAAACATGGTCAGATTGCAAAACCCCCAACTCCCCACCCTCCCCCCCTCTTACCTGAACTGCGGGACTACTCTATTAAAGGAGAACTATGGGGTTAGGGCTTTCCCCCATAGTTCTCCTAAGGGTAATGGGAGGGCACAAACTAGCGTCCTCCCGTCACCCTAAGCTACAGCTCGCGCTATACTGAGACGCCGCAGCTGAATCGGATTCCGACAATTGTGCCGGGATCCGCCCAGCTGCGTGAGTGACAGCTGGCTCTGCCTATCTAGAGGCAGAGCCAGCTGTACCCGCCCCCTCCCCCGTCTGTT